CAGAACCTTCTGGGTGGGCCTGTGTGAAAAGAGGGCCAGGGTGACCCCGGAGGCCACTTCTAATGCTGATATTCTTCAGCACCAGAGGACTCAGGCAAGAGAGTGAAGGTGTCCCTCTTTTTCCCTATCTCGCCCCTGATGGGACTGAGCTGTGTGCAAAAGCACAGATCATCTGGAGGAGAGCCTTAGGTAGCAGTTTTATGTTAAAATGGGGGAGGGGACCAATTTAATTCTGCATTTAGGAAAATTCTAATATATGACAGCACTTCAGGAAATAAAAATGAGATGGTTATGCCTTCTTACAGACACCCTGGCTGGTTTTACATTTATTTTCAAATTTTGTTTTGAGTACCCCAGGGAGCAAAGAATGGCTTGTACATTCCTCAGAGGGCAAGGGGAGGGGGAGTGGCGAAGAGAGTAGTTGGCTCTCGGTGTAACTCTGCCAACTGTTGGAGGGCAGCAAGGGGAGGGTGGTCTTTTAAGTGGGTTTGGGATCTGGTTACCTTTAATTCGCCTCCCAGGCCACATTTTGCACTAATGGGTGTCTGTCAGCAGTGGACTCAGGTTTCCCCACTTGCCTCGGATAGTGGAAGCATAGGGGCAAACAGCAGAGTAGGCCGCTCTGCCAGAGAGAAGAGAGAGGTATGCCCTGCCCCTGGAGCTGGGGGTGCAGGCTGAAGGATGGGTGGGCACCGAGGGCTTCTCCGCAGGCATGGTGAAAGGGCTACAGACCAGGAGGAGGCTCCACCTTTTAAAAGCCCTTTCTGAGGTGGGAGTTTCCTGGGATGGGTTCTGCAACCCCTCTTAGAAAAATCCACCTTTCATACCTAAAATCAAATTGTTCAAAACCAAGTCAACGTATTTGGTAGTGTACCAGTGCTTAGAACAGAATCGTTTCTTCGTGCAGAGGCCATTAAAAAACAAACTCTACATGCCCCCAGTACTTTACAGTTTATAAGACATTTTTCACTGACACCATTTCACCTAATTCTGCAAGCCCGGGTGACAGGCAGACTCATTCTCACTGTAGAGTCGAGGAAATGCAGACATGCAAAGAAACCAAGCAGCTTGTCCAAAGTCACAGTTAGGAAATGCCTAATCCCTGTTGGAACGCCTTCTGCAAGGCCTTTCTCATCCTGCTTCTTCCTGTCGCCTCCTCCCTTGAAACAGACGGCCCCCCACAAAGCTCAGCCTGGCACTTTCAGAATGCCCTTTCAACCTCCTACTTCCACTACTTTATTCTGCAGCTTGCACCACCGGGGACACAGGTGGAGTCGGGGGACATAAGGCTCTGGAACACACTTTCTGAAAGAAAGATCTGAAAGATCACATACCCCTCAGGACAGTTTCTCAAGGGACTCAAGTTAAAAATACCCACCTCTCTCACACACGTATCAGCCTTTCATGTTCTCCTTACTAACAAGACTCACCCTATAAACCACGTGAAATAAATAACCTCAAATATAACTCTTAATTGCTTCCAAGTCAATGTTTCCTCATGACTAAACTTTATTGCCTCCCAATCTTTAGGACAAACTCCTCTTGGGACTCTGTTCCTCCCAGGACACAGGCGGAGGAGAGGAGGAAAGCAGCTTCTCGAGGTTCGACCTAGGCGTACGGGGCCTAAGAATAAGCAAGGATGTCAGGAGGCTCAGAGCGTGGGAGGGAAGGAGAGGCCTTCGGGGCTGGGGCTGGACCCTTCCAGACAAACCGCGAAGTCTTCCGTCTGCTCGTCGCCCCCTACAGGCCACATCTGCCATCGCATCGAGAGCCCTCAGCCCGCACATGTTTTGCTCTACTCTTCGTTTGCCTTTCCCTGGACATCCAGATCCGCCTTCCGGAGGGACTAGATGCGGCCGGTCCCACTCAGAACTTGGTCCTGGGAACACTGTAGGGGCCACAGGCCTCAGGGCTGGATTGATTTTTCTAGGAATAAGTGCTAGAGAAAGTAGAAACGTCTAAATGCGTGTGTAGCAGAAAGCTAAAATCTTCCCCATAAAAATCAACCCGCTTCCTCCTTTTATTGCAAATAAATCTGCCCTCCCTTCCTTTAGTTTTCTTTTCTTAAGTGGAATAAAAAGTGGATATCAGTCGTTGCCTTTAAATCTCAACGAGAGAGCTGTTTCCAGTGTCGTTTGTCGCAGATGCCTGAGTTCCATAACATCAAACAAGGTTTCAGGCTTCCCCCCGCCCTACCACTAAATGCTTGCGATCATTATCTATGATATTTGCATTTCCCCTTCTGTGCTAAATCTTCGAGGTTTAAAAAGCTTAAACCAAAAAGTTTTTGAGGGTGCGACGGTCGGGCCCATCTTCCTGACATCTACCAGGACTTTAAACAACCGCTGGCAGGTTGGGGGTCTGGGTCCGAGTGTTTCCTGCCCTCCACGACATAAAGGAAGGGGACCATCTCTAGGCCGTCGTTCAAGGGTAAGAATTGGCTGGAAGGAAAGTTGCCGGCAGGTCTCTCCTGTTCACCCCGCCGCCTAATGAATGTAGCGCTGGAAAAAGCCCTGCGAGTCTCCGGCGGCGGCTTGTGGCTGAGTGTCACGCTGCTGGCGCAGGCTCGGCCGGTATTGCTGCTATGCGAGGAAATATGAGCGAGTAATTTTATAAGTAACAAAGGATCAGGGATGGAATGAGGCCCCTGTTATCCAATGTCATTTAGAAGCCTTGGATCAGCAGCTTCTTGAGGCTAAAAGTGAATTCAAGAAGCCCTGCCTTTCCCTTTTCCCAGGGGGTGTCAGCTAAATTTAGAAATAACCTCTCTATGTGTTTGCACAAATCATGTACCATTTGCTGTTTGTGTAAAAACCGATTAGCCAGACACAACTGTGAAACAACTTGTTACTTTTATAGCTGCAACACACAAACAAAATTAGATCCGTTTAGTTTTCCTTGTAAAAGGAGATTAGAAGGGACCCACCCGGAGACCGTGTGGTCCATAATCTCCCCTCGGTGAAGGTTACCATTGCTCCTCTCTCGCGGTGGTTATCAGGTTCTTGTTTATCAAGTTAAACTATCTCACCCCCGGCAGCTTGTTTTATTTTAGGACCCTGATCCCGAAGGAATGTTTACTCAAGGACACAATAATGTTTACGGTTTACCAGGAAAACAGATTTGGTATTTGCAAGGAAGTGTATTTCAAAGCAACTCCCAGCCCACGTCGACAGAGGAGAAATGAGGCTGGGATCCGCGACGGGGAGGCATCTCCATCACCAGGGAGGCAAAGTGGAGAACACTGGGGACTGGCCGGGTTTAACCAAAAGGACGCGCGCAGGGCCGAGCCGCCAGCACTGCTACTCGCTCCAGTTTTTAAAAGCGATTTCGCACAAGTAATTGTAACAGCTAAATTAATTACAAAATAATTACAATTGATGCCTTTTGAGGATATGCTGATAGTGGTGAGAACCAGCCTTCCACATCAAGATGTTTCATTTCTACCTTCATACTTTCTTTTAAAAGGTTTTTAACAGCTGAAATGCACATTAAAAATAATCTACGAGGACCTTCCCCATTCCTGCCCTACGATCCCGCATTTCACACTAACCTAGCCTAAGGTAAAGAAAAAAAGGGGAGAGAGGTGATGTTCAGCTGTTTTTAAAAGGGTATTAAGGCCACCATTCCTTGGCCTTCAGAAAGGCTTCGGATTGGAGGGAGAGGAAGCATCTATAGGAACCCTTCAGAAATCCAATTATGTTGTGAATTGATTATTGCCACATAAATGAGGTATCTTATTTGAAAATATTATGAAAACAAAACTATGTATTATCTATCAGATGAATATAAATAAAATCTCACTGCAAAATGTAAAATGCCTTAACATAAATTTTTAAAACCAGCTGGGTCTATTTACCACTTCCACTTAAGGAATAAAGAGAAATAATTTCAAAAATCTAAGATTTAAATGTTAAAAAGAGGAATGTTTGTAATTTACTTACTTTTCAAAGGATAATTGAAATGACCAGAAACTCTCTCATTTGGGAAGTTTTCATTGTGGAAGACACAAGTCTGGTCATTTAAAAAAAAAAAAAAAAAATTTAAACACTGCTGTCGTTTCGGTTTCTTTTTTTAAATGACAGCTTACTTTACAGAAATGTCTGGTCATTTAGATTTAATGGGTTGATGTGAATGATATCACTCACATCCTGATTTTATGTGAAAACTAAAAGAAAAATATTAACACAATTAAAATTAGGCATACTGTTTCCTTTCTCCAATTAAAATTTTCTTACACTCAAATTATGAATTTACAAAGTTTGAAAAGGTCATTACTTGAAATTCCTTGATTTTCTGGGGAGGAGAAAAGGCAAAAACCATTTAAAAATCTTGCCATTTACTTCAGACAACTAAATAAAACACTAGGCTGGGCATTTTAAAAATTTATTTACAAAGTTGTGTACAACACGATGGAATAACATTTAGAATACCATATATATTCATTCATATATAAACAGACTTTTATAATAGAATGACACTTTTTGCCTTTTTGAAAATTTTTTATATTTAAAATCTCCCAACGTCTCTATACATTCTTTTCTCAGATAAAACTTCGGAGAGTGAACCTTCAAAAAAATGAAAGTTCAGAGCTCTAAATCTACGGAATTTGTTTTTTCTTAAAAAAATAAAAACCCCAAAAGGAAAGTCAATAATTTTTTTACAAATATATACAAAGAATTTCCCTCCCATCCCCACGGTACTAAGAGCAGGCGCCGTCGGGGTGCATTTTTGGAAAATTCGGTTTTCGGTTTTACCTGTATGGAAAGCTATTCCCGGCGGGCACGCGGTGAGTTTGCTCGACCAGCTTAAGTGTGCGCGAGGGGGTGGAGGCCGCGGAAGGTAGGCGTTGGGGGCTCAGGGGAAAGGAAATGGGGGAGAGGCAGAGTCCAGGATTGGGCAGCGGGACCGGGACCGGGCTCGGGACGGGGCGCGCAGCCTGGAGGTGCAGCTGCCGCTCTGTCTCTTATACACATCTAGATGTGTATAAGAGACAGGTGGGTGGGTGTGAGCGAGTGAGGGCGTGGGCCTGAGAGCGTCCGCGGGACTGTGCGACTGTCGCTGCCCCGCCTTCCCCGCCCCCTCTCCATTCCCCCTTCTCTGCCCCCCTTTGCCACACTCCTTAGACAGGGACGGGCGACCTAGAACGAGGTTCCCATACCGTCTTTTGAAAAGCAAAACTTGGTCTCTGTTTTGCCTTTTGTTTTATTGTTTTTAGCTTTAAAGAGTAAGAGCAGCGCACCCGGCTCCCTCCTGCTAATTAGACTTCAGATCCCCCTCTGGCCTCAGTGCTCATTCTGGGGAAGACACCTGCTGAGATGTCTTTTTCCCCCTCCCTCAACCAAACCACTTAGGTCCTGCCTGCTCTTTCCCGGCTGGATGCGAGCGTGTTTTCCTGTATGTATTTTTTCATGCGGCCACAAACAGCATCAGCTGGGGTTCCCGAAGGTCAGAAAATGGCTATTGATTAATCTATTAGAATAGTTGCCGAGAGAAATAAAAACGACGTAAAATAACAGGGACCCTATAAATAAAGAAGCCATAACTGGCTACTTGGAGTTGTTAAACGACTTAGCATATGAAAAAATCGGAAATGAGGCGCTGGGGAAGGAGCCGGCATTGGCAGCGGCCCGGGTAAGTCGAGTGGATCCGGGAAGAGGCCTGGTGCCTCCAGGTAGACGCAGCGTCCAGGGACGGCTGAAGAAACATGAGGTGTGCGGGCGGTGACTTCCCGGGCGGTGGGCATGGCCTCGGGGGAACCTGGGCAGTCTTGGGCACGCCAGCGTGCTGGGCTCTCCGTTGCTGCCAGCTAAAGTGGATTTTGTCCTCTTAAGGTGTAGACAAATCCTCCAAGATTTAACTTCCAAGGAAACCAGCGGCGGAGCGGTTGGAGGAGGCGAGGATGTGTGGCCAGCGCACGCGGAGTGCAAGGCAAGTCAGTGATGGTAGGAAAAACTGTGGGGATTTCACTGGGACTGGAGGGGGAGGCACCGCAAACCGACCCCCAAGTGCGTGGCTGGGATGCGTGGACCTCACACCTCCAAGAAAAGTCGGTGCTCTTGACCCGGTGAATCCGCGATGCGCTGCCTCTTTCCTTCCGCATTTAGGCCGCCTAGTTGGGAGCCGCAAGAGCCTGTGCCTAGTGTGGCAGGCACACGTAACTCAATCCCTGTCTGTACGCTGCGGCCTGGGAGGGGAGCGCCGGCCTCACCAGAGGAAGGAGCACGAGGGGAGGAGTTCCGAGAGGAAATAATTAGTGAAATATTTGCAGAAGATGCTGGGATGTGGATTTAATTCCGGAAGGACAGTGGTGCTTCCGATTCTCTCAGTCTGTTTCCCCATCCACGATCTCCTCTTTCCTTGGCCTAGACACACTAAAAATAATTCAATAAAATAAAAAGTTTAAAATCTGTAAACCTGCTTCATTACAGGCATTGAGACACACAGATTGACTTTCATCTTCATTAGACAGTTTCCCCGGATAGAATACTAACTCACTCGAGGCTGGGAGCAGGGTGGGGTGTGGTGACTCTATCCTGAGACGCCCGCTAACCTCCACGGTTTTTCTTTATCTAAATGATCCCAAGGTTGCACCGGCCCTAAAACCCATCTCAGAGTTGATTTCTGTAGCTTCACAGCTTTGTGGCCCGCAGGCTTCGAACCGTTTACCGTGCCGTCTAGACAGCCTTCCGCGAAACCGACCCGGGCTGAGCTGGCTGGCCACCGCCCGGAACTGCAGAGTTCGCGGTTGCAACTGCCTCAGCAACCGAAGGAGGGTCGGAAGGTCCAAAAAAAAAAAAAAAAAGAAAAATCCTGAAATTTACACATTCAGGAACTTCCTTTGCTCTGCTTGGGTTGCCCAGCGCTAGGGGCAGGGGCGCGGGGCGCAGCGCTGGCCCTGCCGCGGCCTTGGTGGCTTGGCCCGCGTGGACAAGTAAGTGTGGACGCGTGCCGGAGGATGGTGGCTACAGGGCTCCCCTCACCGGTCTCGAAGTAGTCTCCAAATGAGCCTAATTTCGATTCTGCCGCCCGCCGAGGCTAGCTCTCTGGAATCCCTCCACGCCGCTGGTCGCTGCCTCCTACCCTCCCTCTGCCACGGCCGGGCCTGATCCGTCCATTCCCCGGTGTCTCCTTGGAACCTCCCTGGGGAAGGGGGTGGAGGATGAACAACTCCCAGCTGCCGGTTCCATTTGTTGCGCTTTTTTCCTTCAACACAATAAAAGTCAAATTAATTGATTCATACCATTAATTACGGCGCGTAGCGTGAAAAGCAACGCTTCCCCTCGGTTAGAGATCTATTGTGTTAATCTCTTGTTCAATCAGTGTTACCATCTGATGCTGGGTCCGGCACTTACAGAAACTTTTCGACTCGATTAGCTAAATGATGAGACGTGCACAACCTACTGGCTGCGGCTCCGACGTCCCGCGCCCGCGCCGGCCTAATATCGATTTCCAGCGGAGGCAGAGGATTTTTCCGTGGGCACTCTCGGCTCAGGAACCGGCCGCCGGCTTTCTCCCTCCAGGAGGACCATAGCGCCCGCACAACCTCCGGGGGCAGGAAGGAGGCGAAGCGGCGGCCGGGAAGGGAGACAGGAAGGTTCCTGCTGGCCTTGACGCAGGAGGCTGCCCCAGCGAAAGGGTCCGATCCCGACGCTGTGCAGGGTCCTGCCGGAGACCGGCTAGATGCCGGGCTAAATAAATTTGTTTGCCGCGTAGTTGCAGTTTGCAGCTAAAAGCCCGCAGGTCGTCAGTTACCGCCAAGCTGTAGGACAGAGATGGAAGAAGCGAGATAGATACAGAGAGAAAGTGAGACACATGTAGTGGGGGGGAAGAAAATGTGATAAAGGGAAGGGAAAAGGGTGTATGTGGATAAAAAGTTTTTGAGTCTCAAGGGGTTATTCGAGAGGTAGAGAGAGAATGAGTAGACACACACACACAGTTACGAGTTTGAGTGACTCTTTGAGTCTCAACAAGCGAACTTCCCAGGAGAGATTTAAAAAGGAAGATGGCAGCCAGCTGCCTCACCTGCTCAAATGTTTGAAATGTTACAACCAAAGGAGAATGGAATGAAACCCCTTCGGTTCCTCCTGGAGCGGGCAGAGTACGTGGTACCCCGCTGGGAAAGCCACCTGGACGCGGTGGGAGTGAGGGGTGGGGCGAGTGGGCATCTAGGTTCTAGCAACAGGAGGCAAGAAGAGTGGAGTCCGGATCGATAGGAAGGAAATTGAGACGTTTCCAGGGAAGGGGAGATTTAGTGTGTGCGTCCCGGGCGGGGGATGGGGGAGGGAAGAAATGGATAGAAAAATTTATGATGGAGAAAGGGAAATTAATTACAGCCCATTTTGGGTTCTTAGGTGGTCAACACTGGAGGAGGGGCACAGTTAGAGTGCGGAAGGCGGGAATTGCCCACCTACCCCTTACCAGGCCCAAGTGAACCCAGATACCTCTTTTCTCTTCTTTTAAGTCAGAGACAGTGCCAGTGACTTGAATAAATCGTTGGCGCGACGTGAGATAGAATCATCACGCCCGCGCGCGGGTGCAATTTTCTTACAATCCGGGGCGTTGGGACCAGGTTCCGGGGAGTGAAGGGCGTGTCCCCCACCAAGAGCAGTTATTCTGTGTCCAAGAGGGAGCAAAACGTGGGTGGGGCTATTAGAAAAATACCCCTCCTTTCTCCCCAACAGCCCCGCGCCCACAACAATCAAAGTCTGCTTCTTTTGACAATCTGCATAGATTCGTTAAACTATTACTGGCCTCTTTGTCTGGATAGCCGCCACCAAGGAAGGTGGGAAAGGGCAGAGGTGATACCCAAGGCCCCAACCCACTCAGATTATTTCCATTTCCCAAAGCGGGGAATTTTTAACTCTCTTACCCACCCCCCCACCCTTGTATACCTCTCCGGATCTTTTCGGGGTGGGAAAAAAAGAGGCTATTTTAGTGTTCTTGTTTGGATTTGCATCTCAAAACTTCATTTATTTTCAAGGTGTCTGCCACTCAGGGTCCACGCCAAGGCGTGACTGTAAATGGCGAGAGACCAAAAGGAAAGGAGGAGAGAAAGAGGAAGAGAGAGAGGATGGTTTCGAATTTATTTATATTGGAAATGTATAAACATCCATTCTGTAAAAGGCAACACGTTTAATTAACGATGAGAGAGCAGTTAGGGGCAGAAAGCTAGTAAAATTGTGTGATAAATTTATGGCATTGTTAGCGTGCTTTTAATTATGGCTATTATGTTAATTATTTCACATTAGCATGGAGTTATCAGCAGCATGTCAGATTTAATCAAAACGAGCCTTTCTCTCGAAAATTGTTCTTTTCATCCACGAGGAGAAAGGTCCTGGACAGGATCGGGGCTTAAAAATGACTTGGCATTGAAAGCCGGAGTCTTTCCGACACCGTTTGGAGCGATGCGGCCAGGCCCGGCTGTCCGCTGGGTCCCTCCAGGCTACCGGCAGCTTGAGGAGGAGCCCAGGGCTGGGTTTTTAGGAATTCACCATTATCACCCCCTTCGGAGCCGACACTTCATCATGCGAGATCATTCTGTCAAACAATATGATGCTGCTCATTTTTATCTGTCCCGCTTTACAAAATCCCCATTCAGCCGGCCGAGGAGCAACAAAAGCCTCTGAGCAGCTCGGCAGCCGCTGGCAGCCACAGCCTCCCCGGCGCGCGAGAAAGAAAGGCGAGAGGGGCCGAGGAAAGCAGGCGGCGGGCGCGCG